TGCATCAAATCTATTCTTGAGATGGTCTCTAAATTCAGTTGGGATGTACTCGAGGTCATATTTTGGCTCTTGTCGGCTTGTTTTAGTTTTCTTCAGTGTCAACTTGAACTTGCATATGAGCAACCAATAGTCTGTTCCACAGTTGACCTGTGGCCTTGTTCTGACTGATGATATTGAGCTTCTCCATCCTCTCCACAGATGTAGTCCATTTGATTCCTCTGTATTTCATCTGGTGTGGTCCACATGTATAGTTGCTGTTGATGTTGTTGAAGAAAGATATTTGCAATGAGTAAGTCTATGGTCTTGCAAAATTCTATCGTGCTATCTCCAGTGTCATTTCTATCACCAAGGCCATATTTTCCAACTTCTAATGCTGCTTTCTTTGTTTCCAACTTTAGCATTGTACTCACCAGTAATTATCAGTGCATCTTGATTACATATGTGGTCAATTTCTGACTGTAGAAGTTGGTAAAAATTTCAATTTCCTTATCTTTGGCTTTAGTGGTTGGTGCATAAATTTGATAACAGTAGTATTAACTGGTGTTCCTTGTAGGTGTGTAGATATTATCCTATCACTGACAGCACTGACTTCAGGATAGATCTTGAAATGTTCTTTTTGATGATGAATGCAATGGCATTCCTCTTTAATTTGTCGTCATTCCTGGCATAGGAGACCATATGATTCTCTGATTCAGAATGGCCAATACCAGTCCACTTCAGCTCACTAATACCTAGGATAACAATCTTTATGTGTTCCATTTCATTTTTAACAACTTCCAGTTTTCCTAGATTCATATTTTGAACGTTATCCATTAATGGATCTTTGCAGCTGTTTCTTCTCATTTTGAGTCTTGCTACATCAGGAAATGAAGGTCCTGAAAGCTTTTACTCCATCCATGTCATGACAGTCAACTCCACTTTGAGGCGGCAGCTCTTCCTTGTGTGTTAAATGCTTTCCAACATGAGGGGCTCATCTTCCGGCACTATATCAGATAACAACCCACTGTTACTCATAAGGTTCTCACTGGCCAATTTCTTTTTTAATTTGTATTGTGATTTGGGTAAGAGTTTACAGAATAGATTCATTTGGCCAAGATTTTTAACAAGTAGATCGTTAGGTCCTCCTTCCTAGTCTGTCTTAGCCTGGAAGCTTCATTGAAACCTGTCCACCATGGGTGACCCTGCTGGTATTTGAAATATGGATGGCATATTTCGCCTGAAATGATTTAACCCAGAAGATTTCTATAGATGCACTTTTCAAGTGAGCACTGTTCCTAGTTTTTAGATTCTCCAACAGGGCTATTGTTGTTATGTGCCGTCGAGTCAGCCCCGACTCATAGCGACCCCTCCTTGGGTTTCCGAGGCAGTATCACTACAGAAGTAGATTGCCCCATCTTCCTTCCGAGGAGTGGCTGGTGGGTTTGAACCGCCAGCCTTCTGGTTAGCAGTCAAGTGCCTTAGGCACTATGCTACCAGAGCTCCCTCTCCAACAGGCAGTTGATCCTAAATCAGTGTGGTACAACAATTTCCAGCAAAGTTCAACAGTTAACCCAAGTAGTCCATTAGCCATGCATTTTCTAAACATTCTGGTTCCTCAAGGTTTACTGTAAATTATAGAAACTTGAAAGTCAGCCCAAGAAGCTCTAGTGGCACAGTGCCTAAGGCATTTGACTGCTAACCAGAAGGTTGGTGGTTCAAACCCACCAACCGCCCTGCAGAAGGAAGATGGGGAAATCTACTTCTGTTAAGATTTACAGCCTCAGAAACCCAGTGGGGGTCGGAATCAACGCTATGGCTTTGAGTTTTGATTTTGGTTTTGAAAGTCAGCCCAGCTCCCCTCCAAGACCCACTGAGGATAGCTGGTAACTATTCAGGTGGCAGCAGGTGCCTGCCCTCAGATCAAGGGAGCAGTGTGAGTTGAGGGGCTGAGACTTGCGCTTGCCTTGGCCTGCCTGCCCTGTAGCCTACTGAGGGAGCCCCAGGGGACCATACTCACCGAGGCAGCTGCACGCTGGTTATATGGCCGGGTGCCCTTCAGGGACGTCACCTCAACTGCAGCAGAGCAGGTGATGAAGGCCGTGATGTAGAGGACAGTGGCACCAACATTAAAGATCATTAACTGGTGGGCGGGGGGGGTAGAAAAGGTTTAAGTTTTGAGAACTGTGGAACTTCTCGGTTCCCGTCAACACACCCCTTAGGAGCGAGAATGGGCTGGGGCTCAAGGACGAGGATGGAGACGCATGGGCCTTCCCACTAAAGGAAGCTCAGGAGGCAGCGGGCCCCCCTGCTTGGTCGGCTGGGAGGCTCTCCGAGCAGAAGCATGACGCACCTAAGGCCAGGAGCGGGGAAAATGCCGGGAAGGCCTAGGGGCAGGTTGGGGGCAGTCCTCAGTGAGAAAGCCCATTCCCAATGGCCAGAGGCCATCTCTTTCTTTCACTATAGGAGCTGAAGAAATATGGAGGTCATGGGCAAATCCTGTCTCCACATCCATTTCTGTCCCCCACCCCTCACCTTAGGAGCATTCACTCCAGGGCAAATGCTAGAGACAAGACCCCAGGTGGACCCAGACACTCCAAGCAGGATACTGGGTCAGGCTGGCTGGGCCTAGGGGAGACCCCATTGAGTCTCCCATCTAGGAAAGACACAGGCTAGAAGGGAAGGGCCCTCAGATGACAACTCAGTACCAAGCACATATTATTAATACAAAAGGTCCCATAGCCTCAGCTGATGCCTCCCCTCCCTTTCCAGCCCCTAGACAAGCAGACACCTGCGTCCCTCTGTGAGCCCACTCAGCCATCTTCAACATAGACTCCAAACTGGGGTCACTGACTTTTCCTTTTTTTTTTTAAGGAGCTCTGTATTTTTTAATTTGGAGATTCTATATAAAAACCTGAAGATTTCATCTAAATCTTTCTTATTAAAAAATTTAAAATATCAGAAGATTGAGTCCCACTGGGCCACACACTCTTCTTGTTATTTGCCATCGAGTCGGACCCAATTCATAGCAACCCCTCCTTGGGTTTCCAAGCCAGTATCACTACAGAAGGAGCTCTGGTAATGTAGTGGCTAAGGCACTTGACCGCTAACCAGAAGGCTGGTGGTTCAAACCCAGCAGCCACGGAATCTACGGAAGTAGATTGCCCAACCTTCCTTCCGAGGAATGGCTACTACGCTACCAGAGCCCCTAACATAACCACTAGCAATAGCTGGAGGAGTAGAGGCTGCTCCCTATGGACAGGAGGGTGCTGGGTCCCCCAGAGCCCCCTCCCAGCTCACTTTACTCATCTGTCTTGCTTGGGCCTTGTGGAAGGTCTGTAGTCCCCACCCTAGAGAAACTCAAATTGCCAATCCTAAATCAGCCTTCACCAGCTGCAGTTACAGCCTCTCTGAGCCACCTTGCCCTGGCTGTTAAAAGACCAAGGAACGCAAGAAACACTGCTCTGCCACCATGGCCACCAGTAGCTGCAGCTGAGCCCCACATCTGTGCCTGAGATGCAGAGGCCCCTCCATCTCTAGAGTTTTCTTTCTAAGAGGCCCTGGGGAGTGGGGCAGAGAGCTAGACCCCAAGCAGGAAGCCAGGCCTCTTCCTGGTCCCAGGATCTTCTCCAAGCCCAGCACCCACTGCAAACACTGCCTGGCCCCTGCCAGTGATGTCAAGATCTAACAAACCCGTTCTGTCTTGAGGATGACTCACGTTTCCTCTGTTTAAAAAGACATTGAATTCCAAACAATGCAGCCTAGTCCTGCTGTTGCTTGCCTTATAATCATGTGCCTCTCGCCTCTCTGCTCACTGAAAGCCCCAGACCCCAGCTGCGGGGATTTTCCAGGTCAAGGAAAATTAAAAAAAAACACACAGCCGCTTTCTCTGTGTCTGGCCCTGGTACTTCCTATGTCCGCTGTCAGCCCGGGGTCCAGAGGAGGCTGACCTGGGGCAAACCTGGGCCACCCACCCTCCCCACACAGGGCTGCTCACCCAGGAGGCAGCTGGGAAATGACAACCTAACTGCAGCCGAGCCTGGGTAATTCCCCACAGCTCACCCCAGCCTCCGGCTGCCGACAGACAGACAGACCCACTGCAACACTTGCTCGAATCCTGACCACCCCCAAAAAGAAAAATGTTTTTAAGATTCCAAACGGTCTCCTGTGAATCCATTCACCAGCCCATCACTTTGGCCTCTTCCACAGAGAAAGTCAAACCTGCGTCCTTCTCAGCTCACCACGGCTCCCGGCTTGATCTCAGAGCCCTGCACCACCAACCCTCCCTCCCTGACCCGGTCACCAGAGGCCCCCCTCTGCTGAACCCTGGGCCCCCTTCCCACTTAGGGAAGGCAACAGGAGTCCTATCACAGCCACACTCAGAAGCCAGAGGGGTCAGGCTGGGACCATCCCCAGCACCTCACCCAGACTCACCACCAGTGGCCAGGGCACCATGTAAAACTTCATGTGCAGCTGAAACAGGTAGAGGATGAAGACGATGATTGTCACCAGCCAGAGGAAGACAGCAACGAACATCACCCAACCATAAGCCGGGTACAGGTGGTATGGGGTGTCGGCAATTAGGGCCCACACCAGCAAGCCCAACACCTGGAGGAGTAAGAAAGGGCCAGAGTCTCCCAGAGCCCCCCACAGACCTCCATACCCTCCCTGCTGAAAGCATTTCTCCTTTAGCCAGTCAGCAAATGGTTCCCACTGTATAGCAGGCACTGGGCCAGGGCCCCTGCCTGGCAACTCCTGCTCCTTTCAGATCTCAGCTGGGATGTTACATGCTCTGCCAGTCTGGTTCCAGAACCCTCTGCCATGCTTGCACGGCTCACCAGGCAGAACCATGGCTGTGTCACTCACAGCTGTATCCTGACACACAGTATAGGACCTGGCCCCTGACGGGGGTCAGTAAAGGCTGCTGGAAGAATGACCAAGTCACCAGCACATCCTTGAGGGACAGAGGCAGTGCTGGTCCCAGAGGCTCTTCCCTGCTGGGCCCAACAGAGAAGTGTCATAAAGGCCTCCCACCTGACTCCCACCAGGTGCTGAAGTGGCAGGATGGGCCTTGACTATTCCAGGGGACAGAGAATGTAGTGGTTAATAGCATGGACTGGAGCCCGACTGCCTGGTTTAAATCCCAGCACCCTTCACCAGCTGTGTGACCTTGGGCAAACTGGTAACCTCTCTGTGGTTAGGTTACCTCCTCTGTAAGATGAGTTTAATGACCACACCTACAGCTCAGAGCTACTTTAAACCCCCATGAGTTTGTGTGCACAAAGTGCCTGGCACATTGCTGGGTACTGTTTCCTTTTATTGTTCCAGAAGAGGCTATGGCCCAGCTGGGCACAGTGTACCTGCCCAACCCTCCTGGCCACAGGGAATCAATTCTAGTGGACAGGGTCACTGCCTCCCCTCAGAGCCCTCTGGGGTGCTAGGCAGGGCGTGACCCAGGGAGGCCTCCAGTGGTCCCTCACATGTGGCTTCTGCCCTTCCCCCGCACCTTCCCTGCAGGTGGAGACCCCCTAGGTGTCCTTCCTCCTCCTGGTGGGTTTGCCTTGGGATCCCTGCCAGCTGAGCACGCCAGAGTTCAGGCCACCGAGGAAGGGGCGGCTGTGCTGGGACGCTTTGATGGAAGGCTCACTTGCTGATTAAGGCCCACAGGAGGGGCTGTCCCTCTTCCTCTGCTGGATGGCGTCTAGGCAGGTGGCACCGAGGCTGTAGTGACACTGCGGCCAGCCTGAAGGGGAGCCAACAGAAGAATCCCAAAGCAGCAGCCCCAGAGCAAGGCCCACCTCTGGCGGCTGGAGACGGTGTTTCCCCAGCTGCTCACCAGCTGAGGCACTGTCAGCAGCATCCTAACCTGGAGAGTGGGCGCTTACCTGAGGGGTCACCACCAGAGTACAGCCAGAGCTAGGGCTCTGCCTGGCACCCCCCACCCTGAAGCACCCGCCAGGACCCAAAAAGGAACTTTCTGCCTGGTCCTGTACACACAGGGTCAGGACAGCAGCCTCTCTGACTTCTCCCCTCCCCTCAAGAGCTGTCACAGACTATCTGCTTGGGAAGGGCCTGCTCAGCTTGCCTTCCCACAGCGGCACTGGGGAAGTAGTAGATGGCACCCTGAGCTTGGAAGTCAGAGCTGGGGTTCAAGTCCTGACTGTACTGTGTGGGAAGGTGCTTGACCTCTCTGTGGGGCTCCATCTGGGCAGTGAGCTTCAGTGAGCTCTGCCCACTGGACCACAAGCCCTGGGAGGGCACAGAATTCTGTGTTTTTTGTCTCTACTAGTAGTCTCCACAACAGGGCCTTGCACATAGTGAATGCTCAGTATGTGCTTGGGAACCAACGATCCTCACTTGCCTCCTCTGTGAAATGGGTACGCTCCTGTACTACACAGATGCAGAGTGTTAAAAGAGGAAGCAGGTATAAATCTGCCTGCCCCTGCCTTCCACCCAGAGGATACCCTCAGCCAAGGTGAGAGACCCCAAATCCAAAAAGAACCAAACCCACTGCCATTGAGTCAATTCTGACTCACAGCAACCCTACAGGATTGAGTACAACTGCCCCATTGGATTTCCAGGGCCGTAAATCTTTATGGAAGCAGGTTACCTCATCTTTCTCCCATGGAGTGGCTGGTGGGTTTGAACCACTGAGCTTTTGGTTAGCAAATGGCACCAGGGCTCCTTGAGAGACCCAAGGAAGGTGTCAAATTCTCTTCTTCCCAGAGCTCTGCATCTGTGCCTCCCCACCCTCAGGGTAAATGCCCAGGGGTCCCACCCCACTTAGCACCCTGCCAGCCCCAACTGCCCCATCAGGGCTCCCATCCAAGCACAGGCAGCTCAGGCAGTGGTCCAGGGGGGCCCACTTTACAAACAAGGGGGTGGGACAGAGTGGCAAGTCCTACAGAGTGGTAAGTCACACACCAAGCTGGGGGCAGAGCCCATATGAATGAGAACCCAGACCCAGAGTTTCTCAGAACAGCCCATCCCCCTCCCCCTGCCTGAAACACACATCAGAGGAGACCAAGGACACACACACACACACACACACACACGTGCACCCGCACACACCCAGACATGGGTGAGGCCACTGTTCTGTAAGAGAACAGATGCAGCATGTCACAGCACTGGCCCAGGGGAAAAGGGGGCATGCCAAGGACAAACATTATCTTTTCATTTCAAGCAAGTTCCTTAAGGGCCTCCCCTGCTACTGTGTGGCCTGGTTTCAGCTCAGTGCAAGGAAGTGAAGTTAGAACAGGCTATGAACTGAAAGTCAAGACAGGACCAAGTGAGGCTTTGCCCTCACCCAAGTCTATGAGTTGTCTGTATTATCACAGATATGCTTGGGCCCAATAACCACCTAACGGTCTCAGCTCTGTACCAGGCACCGGGGGAAGCACCTCCTCTTCTTTATTTCATTGAATCTTTCCCTAAGTATTGTTGTGTGCTGTCAATTCCAACTCACAGCAACCCCATGTGGCAGAACAGAACTGCCCCATAGCAGTTTCTAGGCTGTAACCTTTATTAAAGGAGCTCCAGTGGTGTGGTGTTTCAGGCATGAGCTGCTGACCAAAAGATTGGCAGTTCGAACCCACCAGCTGCTCCGTGGGAGAAAGATGAGGCAGTCTGCTTCCATAAAGATTTACAGCCTTATAACCCCTACAGGGGACTTCTGCTGTACCCTGTGGGGTCGCTATGAATAGGAATCAACTCCATGGTTTGTTTTTAATCTTTATTGGAGCAGATCACCACGTCTTTCTCCCAAAAAGACACTGGATGGGTTCAAACCACCAAGTTTTGGTGAGCAGTCGAGTAATCAGCCATTTCGCCACCCGCACCTCTTCCTTAAGTAATAGGAGGCACTATACAATCCCCATACAGAGCTCTGGTGGTGTAGTAGTTAAGGCATTGGGCTGCTAACCTAAAGGCTGGTGGTTTGAACCCACCAACTGCTCTGCAGAAGAAAGCTGGGGCAATCTGCTTCCCTAAAGATTTACAGCCTTAGAAACCCAACGGGGATCCGCCATGAGTCAGAATCAACTCGATGGCAATGAGTTTGGTTTTGAGTTTTTTTTATGATCACCATTTTCTAGATGAGGAAATTGAAACTCAGAGGGAGATGTGCCCCTGGTCACCCCATAGGTAAAGGGCAGGGGCAGGGTTTGAACCCTGAGGTGTCCTCTGGAACCCGGGCTACTGCCCAGTTGCTGTCAAATGGACTCTGACATGGTGAGCTCACGTGTGTCCGAGTCATCCTGTTCTCAGGGTTATCAGTGATTACCAGACCTTTCTTCCAAGGTGCCTCTGGGTGGCCTCAAACTGCTAACCCTGAAGTCAGCAGCCAAGTGTTAGCATTTGCATTTAACACTGCAAGGCAGTGCTGTGTACAAAAACGAGGACGCTTCAGCGGGTTGGAGGGGCCAGGTGGGAACCAGGCTCGGGCCCTGCTCTGCCCTCCAGCCACTGCCTCTGGGTTCCAGGTCAGCAGGTGCAGCCTCTGGGCGATGGAGCTGGTGGATAAGCAGTGGGAATTTCTAGTGTTCCTCCTGGCTGTGCTGCCCTGGGCCTGTGCCCAGGGAGCCACCTCAGTTCCTGCCCCAGAACAAGGTCCATTGCTGCACTCCAACCAGACAAACTGGTTTCTCCCAGTCCCCTCTCTACCAGGCCCAAGAATCTGAAGGGAGGGCCCAGCGCAGGCTCCCAGGGAGAAACCCTCACATTTGCTGACCTCTTCGCTGCTCTGGGTGACCCTGCAGGGCAGCCAAGGCCAAGTCTTCAGCCTCTCTCCCCTACTGTGGGCCCGGAGCCTAGCGGGAAGCAGGTTGTCTTACAAGAGGACTTACCCCAGTTCAGGAGAAGGAAGACAGCTAGGGGGAGAGAGAGCGGCTCTCTCCCAACTGGTGGACATGAGGCTGAAGCCCTGCCTCTGCCCAGCGCCTTTGGAACTTCGCCCAGGCCCCCTCTCCCTCCTTCCCAAGACGTTTCTCTCTCGCTGCATGTGCTCAGGCCTCTGCCCGTGGGTGTTGGCTATGCATCTCTCTGGGTTTGTGCCTTCAACAACTACTTATTGAGCACCTACTCTGTGTGGGTGCAACAGACAAAAATCCCTGCCCTCATGGAGCTTCTATTCTACTAGGGAAACGACAGACAACCCAGTGAATGAGTCAAATGCCAGTGGAGAGGGCAGGATACATGCTGGGGCAGAATCCAGCAGAGAAGGAGACAGAAGGCGGGCATCAGGACACTGGCAAATTTACCTGAAGGGCCAAGAAAGAGCAAAGACCTGAGGGAGGGGAGGCAGGCAGCCTGAGACTCAGGACTCTGAACTAACAGGTAACGTGATAGCAAAACCAAACTCGCTGCCCTTGAGTTGAGTCCAACTCATAGCGACCCTCTTTGGGTTTCCAAGGCGACAAATCTTTACAGAAGTAGATTGCCCAGTCCAGGATGAGCGCAACTCTGCCTGCACCTCTCTGTGTCCCGGTTTCTGTAGGTTGTTTCCACACATACACCTCCATGCGTCTCTCACAGACACACACACACAGAGAGAGCCAAACCCCATCCTCTCTTTCCCTTCCTTCCAAGATCTCTCAGGCCCCTGCAAAGCC